AATAATAACCTGAATTATTGGTTCAATCCTGATTATATACGATAATTATAACTATAATAGTATATATATATATTTATATATTAAATATACCATCTGACCATCTATTACATGTAATAAGTCGCTTTTTGAAGACAATGTAGGATCGCGCAATGAAAGTAAGATAATCTCAATGAATGTCGAGCTCGATGCTGTGAAGGATTAATTAGATTGGTGTTCGTCGCTATCTCTATAGTAGTCAGTTCAACTCATTCATTTCGTTTGTGTAGTATATATATTATATATATTATATATATATATATATATAATATATAACCGCAGCGTGTTCATCCGCCGTTAATAGTGTTGTTTTTCAGCGACATCAATATATTTATTCGATCAGCTGTTACGTTATATATAGAGTCAGTAATAATAATAAAATACATTATATAACAAAAAAAACTGTTTGTTGTCGACTTAAATTTTGTTATCGGCTCAGGTAAGAATTTACCTCCGTATAGGAGTTCTCCTGTTTGTCTGATGTGTGTGTGTGTGCATGTTCGTGTGCGTGTGCGTGCGAGTGCGCCGCGTGTTAGCGTGCGTTACGTGCCTTGTGGTTGTGTGGTTGTTCATCGCCTATGTACGTGGTAGTGTGTGTGTATGTCGTGTGCGCAATGCGTCTTGGAGGGTGTGATGGATGAACGTGTCATCGCATACAGAGGAAGACGACACATCCTGTCTGTTGACGAACTGTAGTAGGGACGATGTAGAAATTTAGCTCGCCACTATGCCCCCCGCCCCTTTCTCTCCGTGCGCCAACCAAGAACTATGAGAGACAAATGACAATTTCACACAAATAGGTCGATAAAATAGGGGGCGTAGTCGCCTGGCCTGATTCCCCACAAACCCAATCTCCCGCTCTCTACCCTCGCGCCGCACGACAAACCACTGGACACCACGGCGCCCGTCTCAAATTCCGTAGCAGTGTCGGAACTAGTGTGTTGGCACGCCCGTCTGTCCTTCTTTCCTTTTCATTCGCTCTTTCTATCCTTCCTTCCTTCCTTCCTTTCCTTCTTTCTTCCTGTCTTTTCTTTCTTCTTTCCTTCCTTTCTTTCTTCCTCCTTCTTTTCTTTCTTTCTTTCTTCTTCTCTGTCTTCTTTTTTCTTTCTTCATTTCCTTTCTTCTTCCTTTCTACTTCTTCCCTTCCTCTTCCTTCTTCTTCTTTTCTTCTTCTTTTTTCTTTCTTATCTTTCTTCTTTATTTTGTCTTTGTTTTTCCATTCTCTTTCTTTCTTTCTACTCTTTCTTTGCTTTTTTCTTTCTTTCCTAGTCCTTTCTTATCCTAATCTGTCTTCTCTTCCTTCTTGCTTGTGCGAGACTTCGCTATCCCTTCTCTTCTTCACATCGTTAAGGTGATGACATAGTGTTATTAATGATGACGGTTATGTTGCATGCGCATCTAACTACTAAACTGTGCAGCAGCCCTGAACAAGCGCGATCAAGCTGTCCACGAATCTCTCTCTACATATACGCCGCAAGGTAAACAATACATCGTATTATATCATATTTACACAAACACACACACGACGCTATACGCATGCAACGTAGACTCGAAATCGCAGCCGCTCGTCTCCACACTTAATATTCATGGGCGCCTACATTCGCTAGGTTCGTCTACATACGATTTCATTGATATACAGTGGCGCCGCCTTGTGTCGATCGCGTCATATTGCCGCTTTCATCACTGCAAGCCTGTACAAAGTATGGCACTGCCGCGCCAACACTGCGCGGGAAATGCGGCGTTTACCTGACATTTACTCTACTCACGCACTCGCACACAACTCACACACACACCGTACATTGTGTTTTACAACGGCTGCGCGCGCGTACACGCACACACGCGCGCGCACGCGCGCATGCACATAGCGAGCTTACAACAGGCACTATGTTGAATACGAAAAGGCTAGCTATCAGCTATCATACAGAGTATCAACATGATGATCATCACCTTCATGCAACAAGTTGACTTCGCACAGTAGACAATAGTTGCTACGGCGTAACAATGCGCTTCCATGAACCGCCACCTGCACCTACCTGCACCTACCTGCGCTACCTGCACCACAAACCGAAATTCCTCTTTGATTGCCGCCATCGAACCATCGCATCATAACGAGTTCAGCAACGGGCAATGCGGGAGTTAGAAATTACCGTCATATATTCGATATAAGTAACTAATAAAAACCAAATTAAAAGCAAAAGAAAAATACGGAATTACTCACAGTAAGCGCCCAGTCCAGTAAAAAGCTCCCAACAATAATAACAACAATAACTACATTAATCACATGGATTTACGAACAAACCATGACGCACGTGGCAACTTCAAGCAGCTTGCACGCGTGACATTTTTCTGGGCTGCTTGAATACATTGCAACGCCTAAGCACACACGCATTCTTCATTAAACACTGCCACTAATCCGCCAATACTCGCGTGTGCAGCCGATTCATACATTTACGAACGAAAATATGAAACCTAAGTTCCTCATTTTCAGTAGCCAACAGGTAGCTTGTCGCCATAACCATTATAATTCAGCACGTAGGATTAACTAGCCGCGACGTGATTGTGTTCGCTCTATCACACACGTAAACATACGCTCACACGTAAACCGACTCACACAGGTAAACATACGCTCACATGTGCACCGACTCACGCAGGTAAACATATACGCTCACAGGTAAACCGAGACTCACGCAGGTAAACCGAGACTCACGCAGGTAAACCGACTCACGCAGGTAAACCGAGACTCACGCAGGTAAACCGACTCACATGGGCAAACAAGACTCACGCAGGTAAACCTTCACCTACAGGTAAAAACCCACCTATCGTCAACGCATACACACACAGGTAAACCTTCACATACAGGTAACCCTTCACCTACAAGTACACACTCACACACACGTAAATCCATTCATGTGAAACCTCAAGTAAGCATACCTCACACGAGCTTACCCACATACTTAAACCTCACGCACGCATATCTCACATGCACCAACTCATACAGTTAAAGGTCACAGGTATACCCACACGGATAAAACCAACACAGGCATGCTTACACAGGTAAAAACACACGTAAGTAACCTTCACAAAGGTAAATTGCAGGCAGGCGAAGCACAAACAGGCGCACCCTACACAGAGGGTCGCAATGCAACGTAGGTCAAAAATGACGTGTGTAAATCGCACAGTAATTAATCGTTACTTAGTTCATAATAAATAGTGCACGAAACTTTGCACACCGTGTCCGGCGCATGAGTCAACCAGCCGACAACTTTACAAGGGCTGGAACCACATTACATATTTCAGTATAATACTGAGTCGTGCGAAATAACAATGCATGTCACCAAGAGCTAACAATGCATTAATTAAACTAATAATACTAATCATTCATAATAATAATAATGTATTATTCGCTTCTGATGTCACGCATATAACCCGGTCCTCATATCTGCAGCCGCGCGTGCGGGCATACGACATACAATCATGTACGTCATTTGTGAGCTACCGCCATCTGCTGGCAAGAATTGTTATTATTAACAATACGAGTGAGTACGTTCGCGAGTCATCGATTCTGTGAACCGCACGTAAATTTACACCGGAGACGTGAACGCGTCGATAGCATGCCAGATTCTACTGTTTCTTTCGCAATGTATATGTTGGAGTACATGGATATATAACAGCTCCTGTCCGTTCTGACTCTAACTGACTGAGCAATGCTCAAAACAACGCTCACAATTTATTTAGACCGACCGCCACACTGTCGATAATGGAATGGCAACATTTATCACACAAAAAATTACTGGTGACTAGAAAGACGTATCGAACGCAATTGAATTACACTCCACAACACACGCCGCCCGAAATTCCTAGTTATTACTACTCAACCACACCCTGCGGGAAAACTTGGGAAAAATGGAGCAGACTTATTAAATTTTGGAAAGTAATTGCAACCGTATATCTCGCGATCGGGTTTCCCCCGCGCGCACGCAAGTAGTCGCTGCGAGTAATAGAGGAGAAGCCATGACTGCCTACCCGCGGAGCAATGAGGAGGAGGGGGGGACTCTCGCGCGGACCCACACAGTGATAGCGGATCTCGCACGCTAAGGCATGCAGCTCCCTGGGGCGCTCGAGCAGGGGGAGCGCACACGCCGCACGCGATCTCACACGCGGGTCTGTAGATGAAATGCCGCCGACACGCTAGAGGACGGTACAGTCTTGCTGCTCTAGACTGCTAGTGGCTATCGCGATAGCTGGAAGGAGCACTGCTAGCAGCATGTGCTAGTGATACAGCCTTGCTGCTCTAGACTGCTAGTGGCTATCGTGATAGCTGGGAGCACTGCTAGCAGCATGCGCTATAGACCGGATAATTCTGTCCCATATAACCTTTTTTATATTTTGGTGAGGGTTATTGGGACAGAACGGGGTTCATTGAAATTTCGTGAGATCGCATGCAAAATGCATGCGCTGCTAATGCGGCCTGTACGCCGCTATTGGCGCGAAAAAAAACCTACCGTTCCCTTCTACATGGCTTTACCTTGCTACTGATATCTGTATACATTCACTTCAATTGTTATTCACTTCTTAGAAGATTGTTTTTCAGAAACACCGCTTCGTTCCACTTTCCTAAATCATTCGCCATTTACAAACAATCAGACCAATCAGAGCGAGTCTATCAGCCCTCCTGCAGCGCCACAGATACAAGCGAGAATCAGGCTATTGTAAGACTCGCTGTGATTGGTCTGATTGTTTGTAAATGGCGAATGATTTAGGAAAGTGGAACGAAGCGGGGTTTCTGAAAAACAATCTTTTAAGAAGTGAATAACAATTGAAGTGAATGTATGTACACATATCAGTAGCAAGGTAAAGCCATGTAGAAGGGAACGGTAGGTTTTTTTTCGCGCCAATAGCGGCGTATGGGCCGCATTAGCAGCGCATGCATTTTGCATGCGATCTCACGAAATTTCAATGAACCCCGTTTTGTCCCAATAACCATCACCAAAATATAAAAAAGGTTATATGGGACAGAATTATTCGGTCTACGTGCGCTAGTGATGCAGCCTTGCTGCTCTAGACTGCTATTGGCTATCGCGATAGCGTGGGAAGGCCGCGCTGCCGGTAGACTCGTGCCGTGAAACGTAACCGAGTGAACAGCAAACGAACGTCGACGCAAAGTTCACAGTCCTAGACGTCACAAGAATGCGCTCGGGTCAGCTCTCGGATCCCTCAGGTGTCTGTAGCGGAAAGCGAGAACAACTCCCACAACCTACGGGGGTGTGAAACAAAACAAGTTTGTGTCAGTCTCGAAGAGTATACATACATTCACACAGATGCTCGTCCGTCTGCTAATCAATATTCTGAGTAACACACGCGCATATAAATAACAAAGTAATCTAATAGACTTCATAACATCGCTCATAATACGCAGCATGGAATTAATGAGGCTGTATATTATATATACACACAGAAGAGATGGAAGTTGGCTGGCTTGCTTCGCGTTTTATGTGTTATCACATGAACAATTCCATGCATTTATGACAGCATGCGGAAAAACATAGATGATTTATTTGGCTACGAAGAACAGACGAAGATACGTCACACTGGCTGTATGCGCGTATGCACAGTGATTAAAGTGATTACGTCACCGTAAATAGTAAAAATAAAAAATAAATTTCCACTTTTTCACAAAATATAGGTGATTCTGTTCACTTTTTATGGTTAAATTGCTGCACTATACTTCTTATTTTACTATTATTGTTCGATGTGAACATACACTCGTGATGCATACATAGCCCATAACAAGCAATTAATGTTAGGAACACTAATTATCAAATCGTCCAGGTTTTTTGGATTTTTAACTAGTTGAGAAACAATCTTATCAGGTAAGAATTTGACGATACGTTTAGTCCCGTTAGTTCTTACTTTTAATGTAAAAAAATGGCAACAAACATTTTACAAATTTTACCATAGAAAATTCGTGACGTAGTCAATTTAAGAGCTACACGTACATACTCGAACATGCCTTCATCGTGAAGACGCATTTTTGCCACAATTTTAACGAACTACGTGAAAGAAAGAAATAAGACAATTTGCAATCATAGCCACAATGTTGATTAGTGAAGAGCGAGCGCCTAGCGCCTAGAAATCATTGACAGCATGCAGAATAAAATATCCACAGAATATATCCAATCGAGCAGAATAGAATATCTACACGAAAATAGCATGCAACTACACAGCCGTCACCGGACCCACCTATGTTATCGCTATTATGCGTTAGTAACAACTGCTGTTCATAGGAACGCAGAAGGGTTTGCGCGAGGATCTTTCTGGTTCCTGTAGCGAACTGTTAGCCACACGCCAATGAACTGCGATGGGGTGAGAACAAGCGATGTGTTAGTGTTTCGGTTTAATTCAATCTACACCGTAAGTGCGTACGCTCCACGTAAGCTAAACACATAGCGTAAGTTAAACACATAGCGTAAGTTAAAACACACAGCATCACTATTATGAACGTAGCTAGTCAACCACTACGGCGAGTAGCTCTTATGGTATCACAAACATGAACACAAGTGTTGTTGAATAGACGCCTCCGAATGCTCGAACCTTTAGCCGCTTTATCTCACAATGCATAACGCCAAATTTCCCAAACGTAATTATATTACATATACTGAGTATTAATTAATAAATAAATTTTTATTTAATTAATTAATAATTAATATAAAATAATTTTTTTAATTAATTAATTAATAATATATGCAAAACCCGAACTGACAGACTGCGAGACGTAACCGCACCTCCGTAAAGCTGAAGAAGAGACCAATGCCGCCGGTGATCTTGAGTGCGCTGCTAATCTTGTTCTCTAGATGGATCCAGCACAGGTCGCATGCGTCATTGTGCAGAGAACTGCTGCCACCGCAGTAGTCCGGCTTATCCGACAGTAGTTTGCAACAAGGCAGCTGAAAGATGCAGAAAAAAGTGCAAAAATATGCGCAAAAAAGCGCTGAAAGATGCAGAAAGGTGCAAGAAATGCGTTAGGCGACAAGGTTTTGGTCAGTAAACCTAGCAGGTTCCCATAAGGTCGCAGAAGAATGAATACATAATTATATATATATGCAAAATGCGTTATCCGACGACGGTTCGACGAGGAGGAGCGAGTGGAGGGAAGAGCGAGTGGAGAGAGGAGCGAGTGGAGGGAGGAGGAGAAGCGAGTGAAGGGAGGAGACGCAGTGAGTGGAGGGAGGAGTGAGTGGACGGAGGAGAAGCAAGTGAAGGGAGGAGACGCAGTGAGTGGAGGGAGGAGTGAGTGGACGGAGGAGGAGAAGCGAGTGAAGGGAGGAGACGCAGTGAGT